AACTGGACTGATGCTGCAAGCTGTTTAGCTAATCATTCATTCGTTCAATTGTATTGTGTTTCAATGGGAAAAGAGCACAATGGTAAAGTTATCAACATTTACAAAAAAAAAGCTGTATTTTATAGAATATAGATGGGCATAATCGTACTGCTAAGTGATAACTTGCTGAGTGTTTTTTTGTGAATTGTTTCAATCACAATTTTGAGAAGACACTTTATTGCTGAGTTGAAGCTGCTTACCCTGAAAAGGGTGAAAGTGTTGATTGGCCTTGTGACAACCAGCTGTTAGATACACTCATCTTTGCTAGTATTTTTTTGTTGGTACAAGGGTTAAATTAGAATAGTTGTGTAGATCCTTGGACAGATGCCTTACTGATGTATGATTGGAAATGAAAAATAAACAAACAACTTTCTAATGCTGATGCTATCACCTGAATTCCATTTATCCTGGATGCATCATGATGTGAAGTTTGGACAAAATGAGATGAATTGGAAAATACTGAAAGGAAAAGCACCATACCAAAGAAAAAGCTTATGTATATATAAATGACCATGCAAATTAAGTATGAACAATGTGGTATTGTAGTTCTTTACAGGCTCTGCTATGACGTGTACATTTCTCTTGTCTTGCAACAAAAATACTCTGTTTACAATAATGAAATAATTTGTTGTTATTCAGATACAAAATAAGGAAATATATTAACGCAAGGTTGGACCCAGATTTAACATATACCAGATAAGCATGCAGCTTCAAGCTGATAACTACACATTTTCAATAAGTATATGAAGTCTGGAAATAATAGTGTTTTATCAAATTAGCATTACTTTCCTTTAGTTGCAATATCAATAACAAGGATATTTGGATAATAACAATGAGGAGCCATAGCCTAATATTTATATTGAATAAGCTATGAATAGGTTGTGAGAATATAGGTTAGCCTACATAACCAATTGTATCTGGTAAAGGTTTTCTGCAGCTTGAGTTCTTGCGTTCTCACAGATTTCAAATCAAACCAAATCTCCCATCATGACACACAATCTTCCTTGTTTGTAAAGTACTCAACCAGCATAACAATCCTAGTTTTAATCATTTATATAGTACAGTTTAGCCCTTCAATAATTAACATAATGTAGCTTAGCTCTGTTGCTGTATTGATTTGTGACCAGGCAATAGAAAATTAAGTCAGAAATAGAGTTCTTCAACAAGATAGATTTGAATCATTTAGCTGTTAAATACAAAATGATTCAAATCATTTATGATTTACGAATACAATGGATTCATACTGATAAAACAACAAACTTTGGAACAACCACATTAAAAATATTCAATCAAACAGGTTAAAATAAGTAAAAGTGTTTGAAGATGGTGCTGAACACTGCAAACACTCAAGGGTGATTTTGCCGAACTGAATTCTTTGTCCATAAACTAATGGGAACAAGAGCTCAATCTTTAGTACGGAAATAACTTTTTCATGTCATTCATGTTTTTCATGTTGTTCAGCCATTTGCATAATTCAGTGTCTAAACAAGAAACAAGGTGATACATTTTTGATGCAGTATTTTTCCAAACACTTAATTGTGAAATGACACCGATATGTAGCAGCTAAGTGGGAGGAGGACAGACTTGGCTGTGATGTCCTCTCCCAGCACTTACTGTCAAGGCTTAGGCATGAACTGTGGCCACTTGCATGGGATACTGGAGGGTAACCAGCCCCTGTGGTTACCCTTAGCAAGAGGAGACCTGACCATAGCAGAAAGTCCTACATTAGTGAGGAGAAAAAAAATATTGGACTCAACTAATTTTTTAAAAAAAGAAATGGACTTTTTCACACTTTTCTACCATCCTTGACCAAAAAGGAGTACTGCATCAATACTGAGTATGCAAGAGGAGTAGCTTAGAGGATTGACATCCCAAGCATTGTTTCTTCCCCGTGTAATGTTATGGTGTACTAAAGCTTTTTAAGCTTATGTGATTCATTTTGGCTGAAGATCATTACCAACCCAATACCACACCAGTTCACATTGTGCCATATTGCTGTGGTGCTGCACGAAATGCATTCTTGAAACATTTAGATATGGTGAAATATGGCAATTTTAGGGAAATCAGAGAGCTCAAATCAATACAAATTATAAATCAATTTAAAAAAAGGGTCTAGATATCAAACAAAAGTTTCAGTTGCTTTAATTATTTCACATGTAGCTCATTTAATCCCACTATGTCAATAAACATTTTGAGCCTGGAAATGAGAAATGCTCATAAAATTCCTTTTCTGAAGAGAAAGGTTGGTAGATGCGGTTGTTGAGGTCAGATACAAATTAATCCATACATGACGAGAAAAATAGGACACAGATTTATCAATGAAAGTGGATTAAAAACTAAAATCTTTCACGATAAGATTTGATATTTGTACATTTTCCAAATATTAATGTGCACAGTAGCATGCAACGGCTGTGCAAATCAGCATTAAATCCAGATTTGTCTGTAAAGGCATTAATTCCTTCAGATCATTTTGTATTTAAGAGATCAGATTATAACAGAACTTGAAAGAAAATATATTTATTTTACTTATATATTGTAAAAAACAATTATCCATGGGATACAAATGAGTTTACAATATGTACATTGATGTTCTTTACTTTTACTGGGGAGTAAAAGGTGAAGGGAATGTATTCCTTTTTGGAGTCCTATGTTATATACCACCATACAAGCATATATACACATACAAACATAACTGTACCCCTCAAACAGTATACATTCTTCTTTAATGTCCAACTGAACAGGCAGATGGAAGCTCAATTTAACTTCTCATCCTCAGCTTAGTGTCTCATTTGAGGACGAGACATTAAACCGAGATTCCATCCGCCTGTTGAGGATGTTAAAGTCCATTCCATGGCATTATTCAAAAAGAGAAGGGGGTTCTCTATAATCCTGGACAATAATCCTCCAAATAAAATTGGTGATTCGTTTCATGGCTGTTTATGGGACATTGCTTGTACTGTTGCATTTGCATACAAATAGTCATTTCATGTCACAGTAATAATAATGATAATAATCCTTGCATTTGATATAGCGCTTTTCTGATGTCATGTGTGCTGATGTGGTCGGCCCACTGATAACTCACACCTCTCCCATGCTATAGGTATAAAGGCGAGTGATATGGCAAAGATACAGGAAAGCACTCTTAGTGAGGGAGGAAAGAAAGGGAGCTGAGGGTTAAACTGACCACCAAGGTTGATGATTTGGAAAGAGAGATCAAGAAGCTTAAGGAAGTCAGAGCCAGAATCAAGTAGGTATTAGTGGAAGCTGAGTGGGATGGCTTCTGTCTAGCTGTTTAACTGAAGAAAATTGGTACTCATCCAGGACTTGATGCTTTCTGACAGGACATCAGTGGACCTGGAATCAAGAAATTGGAATGCAGATATGGGGTGTCATCAGTGTATAAGTGGGAATTTGTCTTATTTTTGCAGATGATGCCACTAAGGAGGAATAAGTAAGTGTAGGAGAGGACTAAGGATATGTTCTGAGGCATAGCACAGGGGACTGAGGCCAGAGCAGAAACTATTAGGAGAAAACAAAGTAGGAGATGAGTCGAATAGGATTGGAACCAAGAGAGTGCAATCCCACAGAGGTGAATGAGGTAAATGAGAGTAGAGAGGTGATCAAGGAGGACAGAGTGACTGGCAGTGTTGAAGGCAGTAGGGAGGACAGAGAGCCCTGGTTGCAGAGTGATAGTACATTATTTGTGACTTTGATGAGGGCTGTCAATGCTGTGGGCGGACAGAAATCAAATGAAGGACTCCAGCAAGGAGTGAAGGAAGCGGGGAAGTGAAGTTCATTTGCAATGATGACTTTACATTGGTTATTTATTATCCCTATTAAGGAACAATTGTGTTTAAAATCCTTGGCCCTTGTCCCCAAACACTCGAATAGTTTTTTTATTTTATCTCTACAGTAAATGCACCATATAAATGTAAAAGATGCTGCTTACAACACCAACCTGTCTGTATCCCAGAAGGTTTGGTCAAGCATCTTTCATGATAAAATGAAATGTTATCTTCAAGAAGAATCATTAAATATAGATTTTAATTAATCCATGAGTGGATTTAAAATATCTGAGCAACTGTAGCCTACAGGATTGAATAATTTAGCTTTTTGGTTGATATATGGTACTTGTACATGCTGTACAGTTAGCTAAGCATCACCGTGTATCATTATGTAATCTGGTAATTTTTATATCAAACATCTATTTAGCTTTCTTTAACTTGTCTACAGTGTTATTGGATGTGACCTTTAATTACAAAACTTATTAATGTGGTTTCCTCCCTAATTGGGAAATCACACAATATTTCAGCTTTGATTATTTAGTCATTTGGTGGAAGCGGTTTTATTAATAATAATATTATTAATAGCGCCTTATCATGTCACAGCAGTGTCCCACAAACGGTCGTGGATTTAGTGACCAAATTATTTTTATTTATTTAGATAGAATTATTACCCCAGGAAAAGCAATCCGCCAATACACTAACAACCGGGTTCCATTGCTAAGTAAACAGAGGCGTGTGGAATAAGGAAACTTGCCCAATGTATTGCCCTGCCGGGAATTAAACCTCGCTTGCGAGGCGAGTGCTCTAACCGCTAAACTACAGGACTACACGATTATTGCAATTGTCGCACAAGAGAACCTTGTTTTGAATTTTGGAATTAACATTTTAACTAAATCTCTTTAACAAAGATGAATAATTGACAATTTGACCTATTTATCAGAATCATTTAATCTTCACAGTTAAAATGGCAGTATTCAAGTAAAATGTGCCAACATAATATTTACATTAAACGCAATGCCTGTTAAAGTGAAAATTAACTTGTGTCTCTGGAAAACAATTTTTTTTGCTGAAAACAGTTACATAATGGCAAAGTATTCCATGTTGCTTTGTGATCTATTTCTTCTCATCTCATACCTGTCAATATGTCAATTTAANTTTTTTAAATGTATTTTCTAGCTGGGTGGAAAACTTTGGAAATGAAGGCTTGGGTCTGCTTTTGGATGCACTGGAAAAAGTATTGGATAAGAAGCAGTAAGCCATTTCTAATAATTTTAAATTGTTTAGAATTGTGTGTAACAAAAACCAAAAGTAAATTTATTTTTTGAGCTTCCATCCAAATTTACTTTTATTTCCATAGTCAAGAAAAAATCGATAAGAAGAGTCAACACAAAGTCATTCAATGTCTGCGGGCCTTCATGAACAACAAGGTAATTAGGATTATTTACTGGTGTTGCTACTGATAACATATGTCATCTTTATATGAATAATTGACAGTTTGGGGACAGATAGGTGTGATGCACTGAATGCCCTCCTTCTCTGCTGTAATATTCCATGATTGGGTGTCAGCCTGGCTCCGTTGACAGCATTCTCACCTCTGAGTTAGAAGATTATTTGTTCAAGCCCCATGTCAAGACTTCGAACTCACATAGTCCAGGCTGGCACTCCAGTGCAGTATTGGGGGAGTTCTGCTCTGCCATGTCAAAGCTGCTGTCCTTTGCATGAAACATTCAACCAGAGTCCCGTTTGTCTTTGCTGATGGATATTAAAGATATCATGGCACTACTCAAAAAGAGAAGGGAATTTTTTCCATGTCTTGGCCAACAATTTGTCAATCACTTAATAGTTATTTGTGGGACATTGCTATGTGCAAAAATTGGCCGCCACATTCACTTACAAAATATCCATTACTACACAGTAAATCCTGTAAAGAGCTTTGAGATGTCATTCTGATGTGAAGGGTGCTATATCAAATGAAAGGATTATTTCTTCAAATACAAACCTCACTAGAATGCCCATATTTCAGATTACATTCAAGTACCTGTATCATTGGACCTTTGTGACAGTGTAATAATATCCCTAAGATTATTGAAATATGTTGAGTTTCAATTGTAAATGATTTGTTATTGTGTATCTTGTTTTTCTTTGCTTTGTCAGTTTTATGGATAGCAGTGAGTGGAATATTTCAGGGAGAGTAATGAGAATGATAACAATACAAATTTACATTTATATAGCATCTTTCACATCAGGATGACGTCCCAGGGCACGTAACAATACTGGCTTGGAACTCGATCTGGAGGTGGGAGCCAAGGGTTGAGGAGGGGAAAGGTGACCGAAAGCGCGGTCATTGAGATAGATCTTGAGACAGACCTTGAGCAAGATGAAAGAAGAAGCGAGTCAGAGGAACTCCGGGGATGGACTTGCAGACAGTGGGGGCAGACAGGCTGAAAGCCTGAGTATGTAATATGTTATTTTTGTGCAATATAAAAAGTTACAGGGATGGAGTTCCAGAGGGTGGGGGCAGAGTGACAGACTGCCAGCGGTGGGGTGGGCGAGAGGGGGGGACGTGAAGCAGGCTGGAACCTGCTGAGTTGAGGGAGTGGGCAGTTTGGTAAGGGGTTAGGATGCCGCAGAGGTAGAGGGGAGAGCCAGGATCTTGAACTGTATCCTCTGTGTGATGGGAAGTCAGTGGAGTCGGGTGAGGATGCGGAGGTGGGAGAAGGCAGAGCAGGACATGGCACAGATGTGGGGTAGAAAGGATAGACACCAAGGTTCTGGACTGGCTCAGTGAGGTGGAGTGTGCCTCCTTGGATGGTGATGCTGTCAGTGCCTGAGGTGTGGAGGTGCTGACGGGAGCCAATCAGGAGAGCTTTGGCGTTCAGCTGGAGAAAGTTAGCTCTCATCCAGGACTTGATGTCTGACTAACATTCTGTAATGACAGCAGTGGTCCTGGAGTCAAGGGTGGAGGCAGTGGAATACAGTTGGGTGTCATCTGCATACATGTGGAAATTGACCCCATGTCTGCGGATGATGTCACCAAGTGGGAGCATATGGATATTGAAAAGGAAGGGACCAAGGACAGAGCCCTGAGGAAAGCCACATGACAGTGCGGGGGCTTGAGGAGAAGCTGTTTGTGGAGAAGAAGTGGAGATGGTGTGGGAGATAGGATCTGAACCATTCAAGGACAGAACCATGAAGGTTGAGGTGGGAGGTGAGTGGAGAGGCGGTGGAGGAGGATAGAGTGGTCAATGGTATCGAAGGCAACAGAGAGGTCAAGGAGGACGAGGAGGCAGAGGGAGCCCTGATTGTAGATGGACAAAATGTCATTTGTCACTTTGACCAAAGCAGTTTCTGTGCTGTGGGCGGCACGTAAACACGATTGGAGAGGTTCGTGAAGGAAGTGGGGGGAGAGGAAGGAGCAAAACTGGGAAGCAACGACTCGTTCCAGGACCTTGAAAAGGAAAGGGAGGTTGGACGTGGGGTGGTAGTTTGAGAGCAGGGATGGGTCCAGGGAGGGTTTTTTTTAAAGATAGGAGTGATAACGGCCGTTTTTAGAGGGGTGAGAACAGTGTCAGTGGACAAGGAGAGGTTTATGATATCTGTGAGTATGCGGGCAAGGAGGTGGAGCTGGGAGGTAAGGAGAGGGGTAGGGATGGGGTCAAGGGAGCAGGTGGTTGGTTTCATGTGGGTTATAGTGATGATGAGAGAGGCAAAATTAAGACATTTTGCAGCAGCTTCTTGTGGGTTGACTTACCAACACTGCCTAGTGTGGAATTGAGACATAAAAATCTTGTAAGATTCCAAGTCAATGCTCAGTTAGCTAACTGCTGTTGGAGAGCTAGTCGAGGTGTTACAATTGTACTTTGTGCCCAAGTTATGGGAGTGAAAAACTGCCAATTGCTCCTCACTACCTCCTGTTGGAAAGTGCATCTGTTGGCATCGGAGGACGACAAGGTCCAGCTTGATTGTAATGTTTTGTGATCAAATATTGTGCCAACATTCTGTGTTGGCTCATTCAGAAAGAACTATCATTTGGGAGAACAAAGATTTGACTAGCTTTTGAAAATAAAAACTAAGTGTATTATAATAATACTAATCCTTGCATTTGATGTAGCCCTTTTTCACGTCTTCTAGACGTCTCAAAGCGCTTCACAGACTATACTGTAAAGTGTAGTGACCGAATGTTTTGTGGGCGAAACATGTATAGTATTGATTGCAGATTAGTTGATGAATGTTAAAGAAACAGAATATTCAATGAATCTCCCACATCTCTAATTTTAGTATGGATTGGAAAGAATCTTGGGAGAAGAAAGAAGTCTGTCTTTATTGGCCAGAGCTGTTGATCCCAGGCAGCCTAACATGATGACAGATGCAGTCAAGCTTCTTTCTGCAATTTGTATCGTTGGAGAAGAAAATATGTAAGTACAACGTTTAATGTGTATATGTTCACAACAGTCAACATTTTTAGAGATAATAGAGATCTAATGTGTATTCACTGCTATACTTGAAAATTAAAATTATAGTGGTCGGTAATTGCGGAATTTCAACATTTCACTCTTAAGTATGGATCTGTTTTCAAATTACCATACAAGTTGCTCTGTTTTATAACAGAGAATTATTCACTGCACTGATTAGTTTTTTTTGCCACCATATAGCAATAAGACAAAGATTATTACAGGGAATCTTTCTGGTGGTTATATACTTAATTTTGATTTTTTTTCATTTAAATTGGCTTACAGTTGTCGTCAATCTGTTTAATGTTCTATTTCTAATGCCTAAATGCATTTAGTTGCTTTTTAAACATACCGTTTCAATTTGAGTCAGTTCATCATAATTAGTGTAGAATAATTCTTGGTGCCTATTAATGGTTTAGAAGTTATTTGTTGATTGATTATAATATTTACATGAAAGGATATTGAGAAATATGGAACAAGGAGTTATTATATTAAGATTGTTTATGTATTTTTGGAAGATTGTATGAAGTTAGTTTATTCAAGTCATAACAACAATGTATTATTGATGAACACTACCACTTGCAAAGTTTCAATTTGATCTCCCTTTATATGACATTCAACTTCAGTGAGGACAATTATGACTTTAGGTAGATGATACAACAAATCTGTCTTCTACCTTGCTCATGGTGACATATATCCTTGCTTCACTTTCAGAATCTTATTCTATTTATGATCAAGTGAGATTTTATACCCCCAGTTTAAGTATTCTGAGCCTCAAGTTCAATTACATTCAGAACATAGAGAATTTCTAGAAGCAATATAAATGGTTAAGAAGATCACAGTAGTCACTTTGGGTAGATTGGATATATGGTACACTGCTGTATTAATTAAATTCCCTAACTTGCACTAATTTCTCGTCCAGCCTTGAAAAGGTTTTGGAAGCCATAACCACAGCAGGAGAGCTGAGGAAACAGGAAAGGTTCTACTCCATTGTCGAAGGTCTCCATGATTCCTCTGTTCAATTGCAGGTTGGTCGAGAGAGTCACAGCAATTTGTCTCTTTAGCTCTGATTGTAATGGTCCAGTTTAGTGTACTTTGGCGATATCTGTGGAGAAATTTCATCTTGATTTCGATTTTTTTGATTTTAGTTGTTTTCGATTTTTGTGCATTCAGAATTTGGCAAATTGTTAAATTTAGTCAACTTTGAAGATGGTTTTCTGTGGTTCTTAAAAGAACTTAGGAAAACTAGCTTCATAATACCTGGTACGTTCAGTTATAATTAAGTAACATGTATAAGCCCATTCTACAAAGGAACACAAGAATCTCAATTGAGTCAAGTAGTTCAAGTAAGTTGATCTCCTCAACTTTCTGAGTTCTCTATTTCAGCATATCGTGTATTGTTACTCACATATTTCTCAAATATTACTGAAGCAAATTGTTTCTAACTTACTACTTTTAATTGTTTTAGAAATTTACAGTAGTAATAATAATATTTGAAACCTCCTGGAGTTATTTTCAAACAAAATTGTGATCTTCTACAAAAATAAAATATATCTAATATGAAGCATAGAAATCGGATGGACAGCATTAAAAATGTAAATAAACCAGAATTTGAAACCAAAGGAAATGTGCTTCAAAGTGAATTTAGGTCCAAATGCATTTTCATAAAAGCATTCAATAATGAATAGTAATTAACTCAATTAATCAATTAATATAATTCAGTTTATTACTGCAAATTGAATCATGCCAATAGGCTGTCATTTTTTGTTGCAAGATTTTATTTTGTTAAATGATACTGACAATTGTAGAAATGTGAATGATCCAGCTTTCCATTGTAATGTGCAGCTTCATTGTAGGTCCAAGAAATAGACTGAAATGATCAAACTCCTGTTGGTATTCTTCTGAAGGACCTATGGTCTGAAAACATTCTCCTAGCTCATTTACACTCCAATTTCAACATTTTTTGAAGTTCTGAAAAATTCTATCAAAAATCCTTTTTGCCAGACAAGTTCCAAATAATATAAATATTGAGTTTTTGGTTTCCTTTCTGTATTAGCATTTGTTCCATTGTGTTGTTGCAGTTCTAAATCTGCTTTCTTCAGTAATTTGGGTTTCAATAAGTAGTTTCAACTTGTCCCACTCCTCTCAGATTAGCAGATAGTGCCTTAATAAAAATCTAATCAAATCGGAAAGACATTGGAAAAGCAACTAGATTGATAGCTGGAATTAGGCACCTAAAGTAAGAGGGGCTCCATAAGATCACAATAAAAAACAGGCTCAAGGGAGCTCTTGTAAAAGATCCTAAACATCATGGATAAATCTGTTAAGAAATATTTAATGGATGTATATATAATATATTGTTAAATGGATTAAAGCATGCTTCTTCCAATTTCTAGGGCATTTATTTCAATGATATGAAAATTGTAAACAATCTTACATATAATTTTTCTTTCAGATTTAATGTTCATTTAATGAACCAATTAATTAACTTGTAAAAAATATGACTTGCCAATTACTTTTGTCATATTTCAGAACCTGCACCTTTAAGACTCTATCTGACAATCTGCTTGGCTCAGTGTTAGTGTGCCCAGGATAGTTTAGTAGTTTTAGTAGTAGAGTTTATGTCCAGATTGAAATAAAAATATATTCAACCTAATTAAATTCACCCTTGTGGAAATGTACACTAACTCGGAGAGCAAGAGCAATGTATTTCTTTATAATGGTTTTCCCCAACGGTTTTCACACTATATCATAGCTTGCCCGTCTCCTACCTCGCCTCACACCCAACACTGTTGAAATCCTTATCCATAAATTTGTCACCTCCCACCTCGATTTTTCCAATGCCCTCCTTGCTGGTCTCCCCAGCTCCTTGTTCATAAAATCCAATTAATGCAAAACTCTCACACCCGTATCCTCACCCTTTCCAAACTACACCCTCATCTCTTGCCAAGCTCCATTGATTCCCTATTGCAGAACACTTCGAATTCAAGATCCTCACAGTCGCATACAACTAACTTTATGAAGTAGCAATTCCCTACTTCTCTGACCTGCTTACACCTCACTCCCCTTCGCTGGCTCTGGCCTCCTGCAAAATGTTTGTCCCCTACGCTCCGTCATTTCCGGCTGTGCTTCCACACACTATACCCTGAAACTCAGGAACTCTCTGCCTCAATCCCTCAGCCTTACCTCCCCGCCCCCTTTCCCATCTTCAGATTGCATCTGAAGGCCTTCCTCTTTGACCGTACCTATAGTCACCTCTCCATTCTCCCAGACTTGGCGCCGAGCTACGTCATTGTTTAGTGCTCCAAGACACTATGCTAAGTGCAAGTTATTATATATTCTTTGTTCAGCCGGGTTTCTGACATATGTGGAAATCCATCACAATGCGAGTGTTCAAACTAGATGTAAAGTTTGGATTGGATGCACTTAAGCATTGTAATGGGCTCCTCGTGTTTCAGATATCCGGCTGACCAAAAAAGCCCCCAAAACTATGAACTACGCATACTGTGTTTATAATTGCAGGATGAAGCCTGGATGAAGTTTACTGTGCTAGAACAGGGATGGCCAACTTGCGAGCCACATACTGATGGCATCTAATTCTCCAGGCAATTGTTTGTACACATGCCTCCAATGGCAAGAGCAGAACCTGCCATGGAATCATTGTTGTGGTCTAAGCTAGTGGCCAGTGACATGGATGCAGCCTTGTCTTGCTTGCAGCCCTGCCGTGACTGCCACTGCCAATAAAGATACTGACTGAAAAGTTGTTAATTGCAGTATGTCTATAAGATTAGTTAGCTTGTTAATGAACGGATGTTCAGGGTTTGGTTAATTAGGAGTAATGAAGAAAGATGTTCATGTTCACCCGCATACAGTAACCTTTGCAATTAGATTACATTTAAATGAAATTAGAAACCATGTCGAAGAAACTTTCGTCACAGGACTGAAAAACAATTCAATGTTCAAAGGTGCAATGAATGAATAAACCAGCTGTTATGAATCTAATAAAGCTAATTTATCTGACAGAGGTTGAAGTTTGTGTCCCACGCTACCAAGCTGTAATTTACTACCGTCATTTGATTCTAGTCGATGAGAGTTAGCAAAACACCTCATGTTATTAAAGAATTTTATCCTTTTAGGGAGCGGTGATAATCACCTGACAAAATTTGCCTTTTCATATCCAAAGACATAGTCGACACACTCCCAAATAAAGTTAGCTGATTGAAATGAACAGCAATATTGTCAACAAAAGAGGGGGTATAAATAATGGTGACAAATATTAACTGACGTGTACAAATGGCACTGTGTTTTCTTTGCAGCTGCAGCAAAGGAACAAGTGAAAATATGGCTAGTAATGATATTCTGGTACATTTGCTATTTCATCTCCTCTCGGCCACCAAGACTTTAATCCACACATTCATCATGTCAGGCTTTACTTTGCCAATGCTCTGCTTGCAATCTATCCAATTCTTCCCTACACAAGCTGCAGATGATACAGAAAACTGCACCTTGCGTCCTTTCCCACACAAGGATCATCAATTTTCTTGTTCCTTGCATTGGAAATAAATTTCTAAAATTAGTTTGTATAATGCCTTTAGAATGAGTATCTTTAAAAAGTTGTGATTCACAGATATAATGGTGTTCATTGAGTAAGAACAAGTGCAGATTGAGGATATTGACTAAAGGTAAGGTGCTTTTAAGAAAATTTTAAAGGCAACGAAAGGAAAAAGAACACAAGCAATTGGACAATTTTGGAATGGAATTCAACAAGACTGAGGCTTGGTTATCTATTACTGGAAGGAATGGGGAATGACCAGAGCAGAAGAGTGGAGGTGTATGAGCTGAAACTTATTGCTGGACTTGATTTCAAAAACAATATAGAGTTCTTGATGCTCATTGAATTTGCACACGGGGTAGCATTTTGTAAAGTTTAACAGGGCAGAGCTTGATGCCAAGCTGGAGAGAGGGGAGGTTACTATAGGCATGGTCAAAGTGGAAGGTCTTCAGGTGTGATCTGATGACAGGGAAAGTGGAGGGATTGAGACAGAGTTACAGAGTTTCAGGGAGGTAGCTGACAGTATAGCGGAGGGAACAAGGGATGTGCAGAGTGCTAGAGTCAGCTGATCAAAGAAGGCGGGTAGGGGAGTTAGTATAAGCAGTTTGGAGAGGTAGGTGGTGCTAATAAACTGGTAGTTTGTGGAAAGAAGCATTCAAGATTGTTTGTGATTATTTTGTGACACACCCATGGTGAATGTAGATAAAATGCGAGCGGTTGATTCCATGGTTGCCTGTCAAGAATTGGATTTGTTTCCTGCTTCTTTTTGGATGGTTTAAAGAAGAAGCAATGTTCCGGTTTTGACAATAGGTTGAATAAGAGGTAAATGATTTCATTTGAACAAAGTCGCTTTAAATTAGAGAGGACAAGTTCAGAATTACTGGTGATATTTACTGGTGATATTTCTGGGAGCCGTAGGATAAACAGATGCCCTTATGAAATGTAAGGAAGATTTTCATTATGTTTTGTTAGGAAGGTTAAGGATTTTCTGTGCTCCACTGAGAAAGTTCAACCTTGTTGAATTATAGGCTGAACCTCCTCTGCAACAAATACTAGCCAGTGAATTGATATTTTATTCAACAGAATAAAATGTTTCATCATGCCTGACTATACAGAGTTTATGAATTTAAGCTATAATTGTGTAACTATTGTCCTTGTCAGTGACGCAAGAAATTTTCTGTTGAATTTTGTTTCAATTGATGATCTCCTTATGGAAGGTGGAATGGATAGTTTTTGAAAATTAGTTTTATTGAAATGGTTGTAGCTACCTTACACACCAAACTTAACTGAATAAATTTCCATGGGAAAAACAGAACATTTAAATTACTGTTCTGTTTACATGCAGCAATTGGTTAGCAATTCATATATACCTCAACAGTTCTGCATGAATTCTGATTCAGAATTAGTGCTGAGCAGCAGCACAAAGCCAACTTGTCGATGATACTTTTGTTGTGCTATTCCTTGGTAATAAGTTGC